TAGAATGCTTACCAACTAAATAGTCGTTTTAAAAAGGGTAAAGAAAAGTTGCCGAAATTAAGCTAGCTCAACAATTAAACTGAAATAGGCGATATGCGTTCTCGATAGAATCAAATCAGACCCAATGTACCTTCAAAAAGTCATATGATTACAACCAAGTCATATATGTTTCATCGAAGAAATTCAATCAAAAATATAATATAAATTCATCATTATCATCAGCATCATCAAATAAACATGACATAAAAGTAGAGGATAAAGATTGAATGTGGGGGCGGAACTCGATGGTTGAGATACTACTAAAATTCAATGATTTACTTTCATTGCTGTTGAGACGATTGTTGGGATTGTGAACTGCCACGTCCAACGCCATACAAGGCAGCAACTTGTTGCTGAGCTGCCAACTGTTGGGCTAATTGAATCTGTTGGGCAGATTGACCGGTGGTGATGCTGCCACGATAGCCTGTGGGAGCTGGGGGCAGAAATGTCCCTCCACTGCTAACGCCAGTCCCAAGAGAGGACTGTTGCTGCTGGCCGCCGGAAGATGTGGAAGAGACAGATGGAGAACGGGAATTTGAACCGAGAGAGGATGCAGCAAGCATTGCAGCAAATTTTGGATTGCTCAGAAAAGCAGAGAGAGGACCGCCATTGATGGCATTCAGGAACTCAGCTGAAAATATACAATCCAACTTTAGGAACATATGCATACGCACACAATACAGATTGGCACCACTGATATTATAGAATACAAGATAACGAAAAAACTTTACAAATTTCGATCATGGCATGGAAACTAAATAGGAAGAACAATATAACACATACTAAAACTTTCAAGCCCCTTCGAAAGAGAGTAATTTCCAGCATTTAATTTTAGGAGATATTACTATTGAATTACTTTTGATTGATAAACCTACATTCAGCAGCTATTCTCGTATTCATCGACTTTTTTGCACTATTAGGTCAAAAATCCACACAACTACTATTATTATTCATGGTAATTCAATGTACTCAGTTCCCAAAACGTCCTAACGTGGTATTCTCTACCATACTGAAAGTGACATTGAGCACTTGCGATGGGTCGCTGATATTCTGAGTTAACTACTTTAGAATAAGTAAATAGCGTTAATTTATCTTTCTGAATTTATACGGCGCCTCTTTAACCTTGGCCACTCAGTATGTCCTAGTACAAAGAGATAAGCACAAATCAAATGGCCCTCAGATTTAATTAATAACTCGTTAAGTTCGTAAAAGGAAGAAGCTAGTGTTATTGGGTGGAAAATAGGGCATTGCATAAGATACATTAAACGGCTTTAAATTATAAAGGAACAGGAGTCATTTACGCGACACTTGCATAATTCCGAAATAAATACCAAGTGAATTTTAAAATGCTTTTCAGTATTTGTGAAGTTGCCAAAGGGATTAGCAATACTTTGCCAAACTATCCATTTCTACTATCACTAAATCAATCAGGAAATTAATAGGTACATTGAGCCCAACGAAAATTGGCTTTAATTCAAACTAGGTGAAAACACCTAGATATCTTTTCCAATTTTACCATAAAATACTAAAAGCCTAAGCGTAGCGCTAAGCTTCGTAGTCAAATTGAAGAATAAAACGTGAAATAAAAAGCGCAGAACCAACTTATTGCAGACGTAAAATAGGACAACAAAAAGACATACCGGACTGTAACTTTCCACCAGAAGATCCATACTCAGTCAGGTATTTGGAGATTGTCTGCAATTCCAGTTGAGACAAGTCCCGATTCCCAAGTATGTTTCCAACAGTGGTTTCCGTTATACTCTTAGAGTTGATTTGCTGTTGTTGCTGGGACTGAGATTGTTGTTGCTGAGGCATAATCGACCCATATAAAGCCATTTGACGTTTATCAAGTCCTGAGAATACCCCCGAGTTGGGATTGTGATTAGCAGAAGCTGAAGAACTTTCATGACTTGTATGGGCTGTAGTGGAAGAACACTATATTAAAAGCAAACTAAACAAATTCAAAATAAAAATTACTTGAGTTGGGCAATACAACTGTCCAACTTGCTTTCTCAATGCATTTGCCTGGCTGATAATATCCAGTGAACTGCTACTGGTAAACCCTTTATGAGGAGCTTTTGAAAGCAAAAGAAGGGCTTCTTGCGAGGCTCGACCTTGAAATTGATCTGCATATAAACCAGCTTTCTCTATCTGAGCCCTAAGAAAAAGTTCATCATAAAAAAATGATCCGATATTACTGTTGGGAACGCGCACGGATTTCAGCCTCTCTGTATTTGCACTCCTGAGTGATTTGCTTAAATTTTGTAAAAAGAGCATCTTTATCACTTTTAAGAGCGGCTATTCGCTTTTTAGTTTCATAAATCTACGGCATCTTGTTAATTAAATATTCGAAAATTACTTCACGTTTTGCGTGCTCCAGTGACTCAGTGGAAAATTTTATTTGTCTTCTGCGTTCTTCTCTCTCCTTTTTAAGTCTTTTATAATAATCGGCTTGAGCCCGTTCTAAACGAATTGCGATTAAGTAAATAAAAAATAATACCTTCTGCTTCACGTTTGCGCTTGCTCATTATAGACTTCTTCAGCTTTTGATACATAGCCTGATTTAGCTTTTCCCTCTCAAATGTGATTGTGTGTGGCATTCTGCATACGTAAAATAAGAATCTAAACTTCAACGAAAAGAAAGTAAGACCGATCCGATGATAAAAAGAACACGGGATATTAGAACTACGCTAACGAGTCTAGCTAACTAAAACACATGCTTATTCTGATGTGCTTTATTTAAAAAACATTTCGTTAATATTAGCTTATATTTCCATCAATTTTTGAATTCCCAGAATCGGAATCCTAAATTAATATTAAGGTTGAAACTCAAAGTCATGTAATGAATCTCAAGAGACCTTACCCCTTGCACTATCATCTACCGGTTTTTAAACTAAATACTGCCATACAGATTTGAATTAAACAAAAAATTTAATTGAAATAACTGGGATAATATTAATTTACACCCGGTTTTCAATTTGATCTAAAGCACAAACTTGGGAAATGTTATAAGTCCGCTTTTTCCTTCTGCAAAACAATCATCACCTTCATCATTTGCTTTACATTGCTGTCCATTGCCTGCTTAAAATGTAAACTCGATTTATATAATGAAATAACTTAACTTGACATGATGCAAATTATTGATATGCTTAACTACCACTTCTATACCATAGAAGTATACCGTTTACAACGTAATACTCCGAGCATTCTAGTTAGTATAAGACAGTGACAACCAAATGATGTTAAAGCATTTGCACTGCTATCAGTCCACAAGTTCTAAGCGCACTTAATGCCAAGAACTGAAAATTTAAGTAAATTATCTCCTAATACACTTATTAACACAATATTATTTCCTAGGAATAGTTACCTGGATTCTTGTCGGTAAGCTCTTGTCCACGTTTAACTCTTATGATTGCATTGTACGTCAATTAATTTAAATTCACTATTTAATGCAACATGAATAGATAAACGTTCTGATCCATTCATCTTTCTAAGAAACCGTAAACTGCTCTTATATGCCTTTAAACGTTGCACTAGTTACAACCATAACCCAACAGAACCACCAAAATCATCCTATCAGAACAAAATGTGCATCTTCTTACTAATATTTCGATATGTATATTATCCAGCATTTGTAATCGCAATTTAAAGAAATAATAGAGCGAAAGAAGTTTCACATAGTAATTGGATTCAGGATTAATACCAGTTGCCTATATTCAACATATTGTTCCTGGATTTGATCAACCGTTCATCTTAATCGCAAGATCGAATGGAAGACTTAATTAATATCATCGAGTCCTGGTAGTACATGGAAGAAAATATCTGTTGCTTTTGAACTGTGCACTACGGGCTACACGAGTTTGATTGGGTTGCACATTATCAAAAGCCAAAAATGGATAATATCGAGAACTCTTAAAAACGATGACTTTAATGATTCGACAACTAAAGTCTTCCCAGCCTTGGTCGCTTGTGCTCGCGTAAACAAGTGTCCCTATCGATCATTACATCGTAAATATTGCATCACACCAGTTACTAATTAAGCCATCTGTGGTTCTAAAGGTAATTGCATTGATTGCAACATCCCTCCACCGTAAAACATTTATAACCAAGAGATAATTCCAATAAATCACCCGCTATGACGCATCAACTATCTAGTTGAAATTGATTGGTAAATTCGATGGATTAAGAACGTTAATAAATAAAAAAAAACAATGGGGACGACAGCTCTATTGAAAAGTGATTCATGTGCGTTACGATATACTGATAGCGGCCAACCTGATAAGACAAAATACAACGATCTTCCTAGAGGGAGCTGTGGGACACATCATCAATGACCAAATAGAAATCCTGCTATAGAACGCTACTCAGAAATATTTAGCTATTAAAGTTCATACGAATGATGCCAGATTTATCTGGTAACTAATCGCTTTTCCAAAAATACACACTTTGCTATCAATATACGTATTCCGTATACGTCTGTTTCCTTTATAGCTGGGCTATAGCTTAGGTGGTTCGGGGAGTCTAGCTAGATGTAGGAGGATCTGCCATAGAGATTACTGAGTCAGTCAGGCTTTACTAAGGTAGCAATCCGCTACACATTATATATGCACGAACCTAAAAATAAGAATAATGGCAGTTTTCATATCTAAGTTATAGATAGATAGGTAATAAATCTCACGATTTACGCACCCAAATTTAAATGTGCTTGATCTTTGAATTTCGACCTTCATATGTGTCATATATATTATTACACTTATCAAACCTTCAGGAGAGAGGAAATACATCAATTTTTTCTGAACCATCTAGCAGAAATTTCAATAAATTGTGGGGGGGGGGAGTCTCGAAAATGCAATTATTTTATTCTAGATTATAGTGGACACCACACAAAAATGAGCCTTGACAAAAAATTTCGATTATCCTTTCGGGTGAAATTCCTCAGAATAAAGTTGATCAGTATTGGGCTCAGTAACCACATAAGTATTGAGAAAAAACAACCTTATGGAAAAAGATGTTTTTATATCAGCTTATGGGTCACCAATGCAAATCCTAGTCATTAAAATACTATTAAGATCAAGTAAACAATGCAGCGTCTAATGATTGCTGGCTGACTGGGGGGTCTCTGTGATTACAACTGCGCTCAAAATGAGCAATTCTGAACTATTCGAGTGTGAATGAGATGTCTTTGTTCACCTATCTCAATATTGTGCACTTTAAATTAAAATTTCATGATTTCTGGCCTGGAGTTCTGATTGAATATCTATGCATGAATTTCAGTATTTATTGACCTATTGTTCAAATTTGATTATCTGTCTTGTCACCTTAATTGACCTTTTCCTTCAGGATTGAGAAAGTAGATTGAACACATATAATAGCAAACAGCTTCTTGATTTATTGCAATTGAGTAAGTCTGAAATAAGAAAATTAAAATTTTGGATTTTTGAGGTGACATGTTGGCCTATGGGCACTGAAATTGAATTATTTATTTATATCACATGAGAGGTGCTTTGATAGTTATCATTAGGAACATCAAAGTGAGAAAAGTAGAGAGATGAAGAGAAGAGTGATTCACAGTAGTAAAAGGGGCAGAAAGACACAAAGGTAGAGAAAAAGATAGGGTGAGTACCGTAGAAGTGGTGGAATATGACATACAGAAATCAACTACCGGTTTATAGACTCTTTTGTTGCATGAGTATACGTTGCCCAGGCTGTACCACATGGAGGTAAGTCTTTCGCACGCCCCAAAATTGGTTTATTGAGTTTATAAACGTTAATGATTTTTTTGCCTTTGAAGTTTTTGCTATTTCAACTTCATGCCAGCAGTTCGAAGGCAACAGAAGTGGAAGGCATTATAATGATCATATTTAAATACCCAGGAAGAGAACCTCCGCCATATTTTCATTACCTTTCCTCATTTTCAATTCAATAGGAAAGAAACGGAGGGGGGGGGGGTATTGAACACAATTAATGCGAAAAATAAGAATAAAGCAACCTTTCTTTAAATTACCCTTTGTCCACCTGGATTTCAATGACTATGTTTTACAGAATGTGATTTAATCTCTCTAGTTGGGAAAGTGGTTTTTGATGCCCCTAAAGGTTTGGAAACACTGCTTAGATTTTCGAAGTTGATCCAAAATTGAGAAGTAATTTGCTAGTTCAAATTCCCATCTCTAATGTTCAGCTGATCAGTTGTGTGAATGAACAAATGGATAGAAACATAGTCATCACATTTTATTAGAATTCATTTAAAAATTAGTTTTAAAATTAACTAAGATTTCTACTACTGAAGACAAGCGTATCTTCTGCGATTTTATCAATTATCTCCAATGACACTCTTACTTAGAGTAGCACAGTTTTTTTATTCTGGTGCTAACCACACAATAACGACGGTAAAGGGGAAACAAAATTAATAGTAACACACACACACACACACACACACACACACATATATATATATATATATATATATGTTTATATTTATATCGGTAGATATATTGGAACAAGCTACTCATGTTCGCACGCCCTTCATGATGCAAAAGAATTGCTGCGAATTGCTCCAAA